GNGACGGGAGGGGAGGGGGGCCAGTGCACGCGGCCACCAGGTCTGCCAGCGGGGAGGACCAGGCGGCTGCTCGGCATGGTGCAGAGAGCAGCAGGGACAGAAGTGACCAGGCGGCTGCTCGGCAGGGTGCAGAGAGCAGCAGGGACAGAAGTGACCAGGCGGCTGCTCGGCAGGGTGCAGAGAGCAGCAGGGACAGAAGTGATCCTGCGGAGCTGGAGCCTTCAGGACCCAGAGGAGGCTCAGAGTCGGACCAAGCAAAGCAGGTCCGCAGCAGCCCAGCAGTAGCTACAAATGCACCGCAAGGAGAGAGTAGTTCTTCCAATGTACAGGCAGAACAGACGCCTGCCAGTAACCCCACGGACAGACAGGCAGAACAGACGCCTGCCAGTAACCCCTCGGACAGACAGGCAGAACAGACGCCTGCCAGTAACCCCACGGACAGAAGGGGCTCGGACGGTGAGTCAGAAACACAGACGGGAAGGAGCAGCTTACCCGCTGACGTCACACCGCGCGACACTGACGTCACAATCTCGCCAGCTGACGCCTCCACAGAGTTGACTGTTGTGTTGAGCGGTGACGTCACCATCACCATTGACGACGCCCCGCCCTCCTATGACGACGCGCTGCAGATGAGACGGTTGGACTCGCACCACAGACTCGCGTCTGCAGACGACGTTCCCATCGAAACTTCGCTCTAGCTAGAACTCTGTCCTCGTCTCGATGTCGTCCAGCACAGCCTAGAACTGTTGCTCTGATGTTGCGACTCTGCTACTGACGGAGTTCTCAGCAAACTGTGATGAGGTTGTATAAATGAATTCCAGACGATTATGATTTTATTGAGATCTTCCATTGGTCAACATCCCGATATGTCACAGAGAGACTCCGGATAACTAAAACCATAAATTTGTGAAATAATGAAGAGAATTATCTGGAGAAGTATGACTTTGACCGAGAATCGGCGTTAAGAGGAAAGACGCTCATCTTTAGAGACATAGACCTTACAGTATTTCCAAACTTTGCAAAGAACAACATGCAACATGCATGCAATATTCTTCTACCAACAGCAAATCTTAAGTTTTCAAAGCCTTGTAAGAATTTTATGACAATCATTTAAGTATTTCAATAAGATTTTGTGAGAATGAACAGAATCAGAACGTGTCAGTTCTGCCCGAGTGACTGTCAGGCGCAAGACGTATTTTTCGACATTGCAGCTCGCTAGTTTGGACGATTAAACAGTACGATAAAAGTACATGGCGCCAGTGTCGTCATTTTCGTCTTCTTCATCTCCAAACAAATAAGGTCAATGACCTGGACCAGACGGCTGTCATCATGGTTACTGGTACTGTAGCAGACACACTACGGTGTTGGGGTACATTATATAGCAAGTGGGACGACAATATACATAACAGACCTGTACACTATTAGGGTAGACTAAACATTATGTATTTGCTTAGCAAATGTCACCTTTCTAGTATCTATTTCCTTTATCCCCACGAGGGGCTGTCAAGTTTGGTTTCTGTGTAACGACTTTCCAGATTTCCATGTCAGTGACTCCTTCTGACCTTTGTTCGCTCAGATCGTTTTCAGTTGGTTCTCGGGCGGTAATCACGTGAGAGAAAATTGGCCGCTGACGGGGGATTACTTCGGGTATTTCTCACTCTTCTTCCCCCAATTCCGGATTACTGCGGGTATTCCCCCCCAATTCCGGATTACTGCGGATATTTCTCACTCTTCTCCCCCCAATTCCGGATTACTGCTGATATTTCTCACTCTCCCCCTATTCCGGATTACTGCGGGTATTTCTCACTCTTCTTCCCCCAATTCCGGATTACTGTGGGTATCCCCCCAATTCCGGATTACTGCCGATATGTCTTACTCTTCTCCCCCATTCCGGATTACTGTCGATATTTCTCACTCTCCCCCCATTCAGGATTACTGCCGATATTTCTCACTCCCCCCAATTCCGGATTACTGCCGATATTTCTCACTCCCCCCGATTCCGGATTACTGCCGATATTTCTTACTCTCCATCCGGGAGTACTGCTCCTCTCATCGACCCGCGGGCCGGAATTGGCTCCATTGATTTCCGGCCCTCCCTCTGCATGTTAAGTACGTCCTACTGTCAGATAAGCCCATCTTTCTCCGTTTCGGCTGATTTCACGACGTTATGAAAGCTGCATTTATGCTAGTCGCGTGGCGGTGATCCGGCTGGGCGCTGGGAAGGCAGCATCGGTGATCTCGTCTGTTTCTGTACAAATCCGTCACAGATCCGTCATTGATCAGTGATCTCGTCTGTTTCTGTACAAATCCGTCACAAATCCGTCATTGATCAGTGATCTCGTCTGTTTCTGTACAAATCCGTCACAAATCCGTCACAAATCCGTCATTGATCAGTGATCTCGTCTGTTTCTGTACAAATCCGTCATTGATCAGTGATCTCGTCTGTTTCTGTACAAATCCGTCATTGATCAGTGATCTCGTCTGTTTCTGTACAAATCCGTCACAAATCCGTCATTGATCCGTGATCTCGTCTGTTTCTGTACAAATCCGTCACAAATCCGTCATTGATCCGTGATCTCGTCTGTTTCTGTACAAATCCGTCACAAATCCGTCATTGATTAGTGATCTCGTCTGTTTCTGTACAAATCCGTCATTTCGTTCAGGGCTAACGTACCGCACTTCAGCGACACACTTCAGGGCTCGAAATTCATTTTGGGAAATATGTGAACTGGTGCACCAAACCTTAAACGTTGGGTGCAATTTTTTGTGCACCATGTAAGATAAAATAAGTACTATGTCAGCAAAAACTAATTATGTTTCATTTCTAAAGAAAAGTTCTATAGCAATGATTTGATTCTGACACTTATACTGTATACTACTGTACAGTTGTTGGCAGCCGTCTGTCTTGGGAGACGTTTCATCCTGGTTACTACTATACATTTAACATTCTTTACATACATAAACCTATGAAAATATTTGGGTGCACTGGTGCACCAACAGAAAAAAAATTGGATGCACAGCTCCAAATTTGGGTGCACTAAGGTGCACATGCACCCAGTTTTTCGAGCCCTGCCTTCCTGGTTAACTCTAGTATTATAAAGGGAATTCTATGATGTTGTACAGCAGCAGCCTTCAGCTTGAACGTAATATTCCAATTCGTCTACGTTTCACGCACTCTTTGGAGCTGTGCAGACGGATATCAGTACCAACCATCACTCGTTACACAGCAAGCTGCTGCGTTATCACTCTTCGTCACAAACACGGTTCACAATCCCTGATTACGGGTGCTGCATATCCGGGCTGCAGGAACGAGTGGAGGATGGAAAATGGCGACGTGTCATGGCAAAATAAATCTGTCACGTCATGATGTACAATAATTCATAAAACTTCCAAACTTTGATAACAGATTGAGACCAACCCAAGCACGGAGACGAAGACCTTGGTTCATTTCCAGAATCTTTATGGAAATTTGTATCATGCAGCCCTTAATGGCTCATCGGAGCAAGGGTGACAACATGATCAATCGCAGGGTTGAAATAATTGACTTTTTAGATTCCGCCGCGTTCCGTCAGAAAAAGTCGATTTCAGGTCGAGATGAGAATAATTGCGCCGGTAGATTTCCCCATCGTTAATAAAACAGGCTGATCCGGGCAGAATAACAAGTACTAAACGCGGATATGTCTCCATTAACACACCCCATACGGCTCAGCTGAACATGTTCTTTCCTTTCAATCATCATCATGTATTATTTATTACGCCTAAAGGAGGCGGGCCGAGAATAAGCCTAACAGGCTTCCCACGCCCTCATGCTCACTGTTTGCCTTTCCATTTTATTCTTTATTATGTGTATACATCGTGCGAATAAATAAACAAAACATGTTGGGATCCAGGCAAGACTTGAGGCGAGAAGTGATGTTTGGTAGTTATTAGCATGAAAGTTCATCTGTGTTGGTATACTTCATTATGACAAAAATTAAGGGTTAAACGTTCTTGCCAACACTAAGTAAATTGGGACTTACCCCCACAGCTAAAAATTTGCGTAAGTCCCAATTTACTTAGTGTTGGACAGAACCCTTTTGTCATAATGTTTGGTAGTTATCAGAAATCTAAGATAAAAGACTGATATCAGCTAGGATTAAAATAACCATATTAAGTAGTATTAAGGGTTAAAGCCATGGAGAAACTTGGATGAACGATGGAGATGTTATTTTATGTACTATCGGTAACAGACAACATCGCCAATTAATTAGATTAAGTAGAAAACCTACGTCACAGGTCTCTTGGCCGCGCCGCCTGGCGGATGAGGCAGGCATGACAATGTGTGCGGGACTGGTAAAAATCGCCTTCTGCAAACATGACCCGGGGATGAATGGCCCAAGAAATAAGTTAATTTGTCCTTTATAAGCACATCCATCCATCTACATAAGCATCTAATTCTATTAGAAGATGCCAGTTAATTGATGATGTTTTATTTTATCAATTTCTGTAGTTTCAGGTAATGTGTACCTTTCTTTCATTCTGGTACTATTAAGACCTTGCTCTTTTGCACGAGTATCTTGAAAATCAGCAGAGGAGATTGATAAAGAAGAATCTGATTTGAGTCCAGTTGCCTAAACGTCGCGACAAGTACATTTGTACCACCTAGTATCGGACGAGGATCTATCAGGTATTTTGTTGAAGTAAGTATTTATCATTTACTCATGGGGAAAGGGACAGGCAAATTTAAAACTGACAAAACTGTGTCTTTGCTAATAAACCATAAGGCTATGATAAACTGCTGTCTGCGCACAGCTGATAAAGGATGAACACGTCTCGCCCGGAAATTGCGACTGTCTAAATTGGATTTCGACGCACGTTCCGGCTTCTGTCCCGCTGCTTCTGTCCCGCTGCTTCTGTCCCGCTGCTTCTGTCCCGCTGCTTCTTTCCCGCTGCTTCTGTCCCGCTGCTGCTGTCCCGCTACTGTTGTCCCGCTGCTTCTGTCCCGCTGCTGCTGTCCCGCTGCTGCTGTCCCGCT